ATATGGAAATATATGTGACTTACTTTGAATATATCCCCCTGCACATTCTTTCTGTTAAAATGAAAACCATACCCTGGAGAATGCGGGCATCGATCCCGCTACCTCTCGCATGCTAAGCGAGCGCTCTACCATTTGAGCTAATTCCCCTCCTGACAGTCCATACTTAACCTCTGATGAGTCATCACAGGAAATGAATGGATCAGAATACAACAATGTATTCTTCACCTCCCCAAATATAGCATTCATATTTGGTTCCTTTGGAAGAAACTTAAAGCAATATAAAGGGGGCCAAAATATACTTCTTCGAAGCCAGATTCCCCCAGTCAGCTAATTCCAGCTGAAACTGTGATATGCCAACTGTTCTCATTCTCTCTTCCCATTCTGAATGATCAAATCTGTTTCTCTCCCTCAGATACATTCCAACATTCCTCCTCCCTTAAGTGTCATCTCTTCGAAGAAGCTTTGATGGGATATCTCATTCAAAAGCACAGTGGTTCACAACACTCACTGGCATAGTAATAATCCATCCTGGATTATTAACTAGCAATTTGCCTAACAAAGGAACTGTTAACTAGTAGCTATATGAGGAAAATGTAATGTAAAGAAAACAGTATCTTGGAGAATGCGGGCATCGATCCCGCTACCTCTCACATGCTAAGCGAGCGCTCTACCATTTGAGCTAATTCCCCTTCTTACATACACCTTTCAGTGTTCCATTTAAGAGTAAACAAAGACCAAGGGTTTCATGCTATATATATTAACCAGTATGATTAATACAGATTGGGTATTCTGCTTCAGCTGACTTCTTAATTAAAAGTGAAAAATGCAATTAAGTGTTTTACAGCTTGTCTTAAATCTATTCCTCTTCATATGTTAAATAACATTTCACATTATATACTTAAAAACCAATATACTAAATCCTCAATTTAATAGACAAGGGAAAGGAGGTCTGTTAAAGGTGAATGTTCACTAAATCCAAATATGATTTTTTGAGGCCTGAAACACACTCATATATGAGATTACTGAAAAAAATTAAAAGATACTCTACTGTAGTAACAACAGCACTAAATGCTCAGAGAGCCTTATCGATGGTGATGAAGAGAGGCATGTGTCATTTGCCAAGGGCAATGCTATTTTGAAGACTGATCAGTCTGAAGAAAGCATTCAATTTTAATTGAATCTTGGAAATACACTGCTTCATTATGATTAATTCCTACAAGCATGGAACTGCGAGTAGTAAGGCTGGATCTCAGAATCAAGTGAGGAGTTAATAAAAGCTACCACTCCTCAAGGTAATATCAAAATACCTATAGTCTGATATGGCAGTTTTTCCTCCTCATCCTAGTTGCTCCTATGATCTTCCTTCTCACCAGCCATAGCTGTCTCACTATGTCAATATCTGATATCTAGGATTACTTTTGCAGTCATCTCTCCTAGTGGTGATACAGACATGAGTTACTCTTGCCAGGTCCTCTCTTTCCAGGCGAGTGCAACTGGTACACTTGGCCACAACCTCTACCAGCCAATAAAGCAGTACAATAGCAAGAGATATAACACAAAATGGAAAAGGGATAGTGTGAGGAAACCATTGCCCTGGTACATAGTATCAAATATTAGTTCTTGTAAGAACTGTTAAAACTTAAGCAGAAATTAAGATTACTTATCTTTTAAAGCAGTTCTTTATACTGCTTTTAATGTTTTTAAAAATACTGTTTTTAGTTTTTGTTTTATTTATTTTTGTTGTGTAATATAGTGATGATTTTAGCATAAATGTGATGTGTAAATATGAATAAAAGGAGTAATTAATATTCTCAATCTAAAATAGACTGCCTCAATAGCATTGCTTGTATTTAGTTGGTTTTATAGTATTTTGAAAGAGAAAGAAAAGGATAACTATGTATGAAATTAGTTTTTACCTTTAATAACCATAGGAACAAGCTATTTTGGTGAGTCTTCCTTTGTAGCATGATTAATCACATCTGCCTAAATATTATCTTCCTTATAATATTAAATATTATAATTTTAGCTTCTTTTTCATCCAATTATCCTAAAAAAAAGCAGACATGGTTAAAAATAAATAAAAACAGAATAAGTTTCATGTTGCAGTTTCAAAATTTGTTTTGGGTCCGAACAGACAGGACACTATGGCTATACAAATATTCTATACACCAGGAGAATCACAACTTATTGAACTGAATAGGATTAATTTTGTGCACGATTGCATGTATAACCTAAACTGTAAAAACTGGTCTACAGTCTTAAACTTATACTTCAGTGGAATTTCAGCTAGTGATTACTGGCCAGTGAAGAAGCATATGCCTCAGCAAAGCGAAATGGCCCACCAAGCACTAAGCATTATATGCTGTGAAGTGAATTAACTCAGATGGTAAAATGTTTGCTTAATACATGAGAAGTAGTTTATCAATGCACTCTATATAGCAGATTTCTCCTGTATATTCCACTGGCTGGGCATTCTTGTAGTCTAGGACATCTGGAGGGTACTATGTTGGAGAAGGCTGCTCACTGGGTTGAGACAGATTCATCCAGAGTTCTCCACTTTTTCCACTGTAGTTATTCTCCTGCATGTTTAATGTGCCCATCTGCATATATAGTACAACACTGAGAGAAGCTGTATTAATTGTCCCCACTAGTTTCCTAGTGTATAGAACAAACAGAAGTTTTTATGAACAGACTATTCAGAAGTTTTTGTAACTTGGTTGTATACATTTACTTTTAAGGTGCAGAATATAAATAAGTTCTTAAATTTTTATGTTGCGTGATATTAAAAATTTTGTATGTATCTTACCATGCAGATCAATGGAGCTGCATCTCAAATGATGGAGAGTTTGAACATGACAGGTGAATAGTTCTTCAAACATATGGTTTTCTTTGTATAAGTGTTTTTGTAATAAAACATTTTGGGATTACCTTTTGACTTTAAAAACCAGCTACGCTGCTCCAAAAGGCACTACAGTAAATTTGAGTATTTTGTAATAGTATTTTCATGTAATGCAAATATATAAATTTGGCACATGCCTGGTATGATTCATTACTGTCCTGCATGGTGTACAATTGTATCATCCTAACCTGTTTGTAGTAATTGCTGTGTACCACAAGAGAATGCAGGATAGTATCTTGGTTTGAGTTCAATTCAAAAAGTGCTTGGTGGGCTTTTTGGGCCTCACAGTTGCTCTGCATGAACCAAGAATACATCTAGCACGCAAAGAAAGTTTTTCACACTGCAGGGAAGAAAGATTATAAGTAAATAGTTTGCCTTTTGAAAAGCTTGCCCATCAGTGAGTGGACTGGGAATGTAATCTGAAAGTTAAATTTTGGTTATGATTATAGTTTCCAGTTAAAACTGAGTACATGTCTAAATTGCTTACCCTTAAAAGCAGGAGCGCTTAATTTAAACTTGATTGTACAAGTTACTTACATTAAGTGACTGTGGCCAGAAATATACTATCTAAAACCCCAGAGTCACTGGCATTCATCAAAAGGTTTGGATGGGGCACTCAAAGATCTCCTAAAGGCGTTATTAAATGTTTAATGACTGAGGAATAATAATAATAATTAACTATAATATTAACTATATTGAGTTTTAATTCAATGTAAATTAAATTAAATCAATTTTAGTTTTTTTCCTGGATTAGCCATTACTTTTTGAAGTATATGGCATTCAGCGTGTCACTCAAAGACCAATGCAATACTGGGTTTAGAAAACTCATACTTCCATGAATCAAATGCAGAGATGTTCCCTGATATTTATTTATGTCAGATTGGTAAAATGGCCCAACCCACAATGATTCTGGATCTGATACAAGCTAAAAACAAAACCCAATACAATGAAGCAAATAAAAGATGGCTGTAATCAGGGGACCACTAACACATTTCACATAATCTAGTTCAGGCAGACACTCCCACAGGAACCTTGTTGTATGCCATCCAGAGTCGCTTTGTGTGAGATGGGCGGCTATATACATGTGATAGATAAATAAATAAATAAATACCCCACCTAATTCAGAGTCTGAGGGAAAAGCCAGGTTTTCAAAGGACAGCAGGGCCAGGGCTAGTTGAACGTCTGGAGCAGAAGGCAGATGTTGCAACAGAGAAATCATGCTCCTGGGTCCCACTAGATGACCCTGATTTAAATCTGCTGGCTAGGGAATTCTGGGAGTTGAAGTCCAAGGTTAAGAAACAGGTTTAAATGTAAGACCCACTGCATGCCCACTATATCAGATCTTACAAGACTGGCAGAAACAATGGGAGAAACATGATCCCTCAGATAGCTGGGCCATATGCCATGCACTGCCAAGTATCTGTCTCTGCACTCCCCTCAAGTACGCTTGTTGCCTTTGTCCTCTTTACACCTTGCCACATATTTAGGTCCCTGTATTCCCACACACCTATCTCCTCTCCTTCTTCCAGGTCACCTATCTAAGGAAGGTCAACCAAACCCAAGCAAAAATAATGTCCCTCATATTCCATTTGTCATTATTGACGATACTAACGAGCATGCGCTGGATTTTTCCCCCAGTCCAGCCCTGGCCTATTATCCCCACAACCAACTCCTAGCCAGCATAAACTGAATGTTATTACAGTTGCAGTCTAGCTCTTCTGATAAGCGTCCGGTTGAGGAAGGCTACCTAAAGACCGGGAAGACGAAGTACAGGCAGGTTTTAAATGAGAATTATTACAGGAGAAGCGCCAGAAGTCTCCCTGCATTTAATGGTGTTTATTCAAACCAACGAGCCTATTAGGACTAGGTCCCCTAAAATCTACAAATCGCCCCACTCTTCCCAACCTCGTTCCTCTATTTACGCGGCAGCGCTAGCGCGCCCTTCCTCCCCAGATGCAAAAGCCCGCACTCTAATCGGGCCCTCCGCCTCGCGGCTCTACCCACAGAAACCAGACAGTTCAGAGAGGGGGGAGGGGAGGGGCTTGTTTCCAGGAAATGACGTTGTACGCAAAGCAACCCTCACGCGTTGAGCGCCAGTGTGTTTCCGGCTGGTGGGGGAGGGGTTTGGACAAGATGGCCGGATCCACAGGTCTGTGCTGAGATTGGGGTGGGGGTCATTTGGGGCGTGCTGCGGTGCTGTCGGTTGGGAGGGAGGGCCTCCGATGTTAAGGATGTGAGCGGGGGGCTGAGACTAACCCTCGGGTGAGCGGCATCAGTGCAGCCCGACTGAAGTTCCACCCCGGGGAAGCGGGGAAGAGGCCGCGGGGTTGGCGCCGGGGCAGGGAGTTCTCCTGGAAGAGGCCGGGGGGAAAAGGGACCAGGCTAGGAACGTGTTGGGGTCACTTGTGGAGGGCGTCAGACGCGCCTTCCAGGCGGCTTTTCGGTCTTGACGGGCGGGGAGCGGTTTCCCGGGTCTTTGAATCCTCCTCTGGCGGAAAGTTGTAGGGCTTGGGCTGTGCTAGCTGAGCAATGTCTTCAGTCGCATCCTTTTCCAGCCAGAATGCTGACAAATGCGGCTCTTCCCAAGCCAACCTGAACTCAGTCGCGAGTTTCGCTTTGAAAGCACAGAAATTCGAGGCTGGGACATACATGATTAACAGCTTAAAAAAAAAAAGTATGAGTTCTGCCCGGCATCTTCGCTTACTATTCTGTTGGTTCTGAAGAATGCTTGCTTTTAAGGTTTTCTTTCTGATAATCTCATGCACTTTCCTTCTCTGTCATCTTGGCTAACTTCCTTCACATCTCAAGAAATAAGATCTGAGTCTTAAGCAACTTATAAGCTTGGGATTTTGCATATAGTTTTCTTTTTTTGTTGGTTTGCTTAGGCAATATGATAAAAATAAATATTAATAATTGTACTCTTTTGTAGCACCATAGTATGCCTTGTCCTCTGTATCTCTCTTCTTTGGCTTGGGTATTCTCAGTATTTTGTCCATTTCTCCTCATTGTTCATACACTGATTAAAAACAGATTTTTTTCTTGTTTGTGGAGTAGACATATAGGTTAACCAGAAATTCACCCTGTGCTTCTGAAGGATGGTGTGGTACTTCAGTGAATGTGGAAAAATAAAACAAAAATGATCCAGTGTGCATATGCATTAATCTTCCTATATTGACATAAATTATTTTTGTAGTATTCTGAATTGATCCAAAAAAAATGGATTAAATCAATACTTGCATTGGGTTCATAAAATGACCTCATTGCATCTCAGCTCTGTATTTATTGAAGTGTTCTAATGTTACAGATTGTGTTGCTACATCATTAATATGATGTTTTAGGCTGTTGAATTATTGTGACTTCAATCCATTGTTGATAATAGATGAGATTGTTAAATCAGTGAACATTAATCATAGTTACCCGGAAGATGCTGTTGTATTCATAACTTGCTTCTGAGTTTCCTGTGGGCATCCAGTTGTCATGATAAGGCAAGTAGGCCTTTGGCAGCTGCTCTTATATTCTTATTTGCTTAGACTGTAAATATTGTTTCTTTTGAAACAGGATGTTTTGCACACAATGTAAGTGATTTATTATTTTTATGTTTGTATTTCCCTTTTAAGAGTCCAGTGCAGTATATAAAGCAATAAAATTATCATTAATTTAAAATAAAATATTTTAATTAAAAATTAAAAAGCTATAGATTTGTATCTACACAAATGTTTTAACAACAGGCATCTGTAAAAAAAAAATACATGTTTACCATATCTTTGTGAAGTAATACTAAGAATCAAAATATTTAGTATTACTTCACAAATAATGAAGTAATTATTTACTTCACATGTATTTTTAATTATTATTTAAAACTTGACAAAATGGGGTCAGCTCTCCTTTCCTAAGAGGGAAATTGGTATGTGGTATATACTAACTAAAAGAGCCACTACAGTAGGATTTATATTAAGTAGTGAAATTACAAGCAAAGTCTTAATTGCCAGCCTCAATGTGTGGGATCTCAAATACCTGTGGAGGTGCTGCTTTAAATACTTGAATTGTGTCTGATAGCTCATGGGTAGTCTATGGGCTTTTTTAGGATGGGTGTCAGTCTCTTCTGCTTAACTGTTTCACCTGACATTCTGACAGCTGCCTTCTGCATGAACAGTAGCTCTTAGATTGCCTTTAAAGATAGCCCAGTGTATAATGCATTACAGAAATCTAATCTTGACTACTTATAATGCATAGTAGTCATTGATGAGTAAACCATAGATTCCTATAATCTTAAAATAATTATTTTTTCTGTATTCTGGAAATATATTTTAATTGCTGCTATATGCATTCATTTCAACATAGTTTTTTTTAAAATCAGTTATACTAATTATATGGAAATTAAACAGATACAAAACTGCTATTCAGGAAACATTCTTCACTTCCACCCTGGAACATTTAAACCTTGTCCAAATAAGTCATTCCAAATAACATAATGTTGTACTGCTTAAGAGGTTGAGATGAATGGAGTTCTGAATTAAGAAGACATTATGTGATTAGGATCATATAGTGGGAAATAACAGGCATGCAGGATGCACATTAAGTAAGCAAGATACACATGGTTTCATGATCCAAGCCTACTGGGAAATGATTTATGCATTGGTAGTTTTAACAGATCATATTGCTCTATAAAGGCTTCTTCTTCACTGATAAAATCTTTATTAAATCCTTGCATTTAAAGGATATAGATGAATCAATCAGTATACAGAAAAAAAAAGTGTGATGACTGGATGTTTTGAGAGAGATAGTAATTTTTATACATTCAAGTTGTTAATGGTAGAATTTACCCTGTGTAGCTGCATCTCATAGAACAGAGCAATGTTTCTATTGAAAAATAAGGATTTTAAAATGTTAATTCTGTAACCTGAAATCAGTTTAGCATTAGAGGTATAAGTGATAAATAATAAATTTATTATTTTAATTACTAAATTTATATCTCACATTTCCCAAAACAGCATTCAGGATAGGCAATAATGTCAAACATACAATATTAAAATTAAAACCAAAAATGAACCAATGAAGTGCAGATGAAAGTATCAGGAGGAACAGGGGAGGGGGAAAAAACCTATATCCTGATTAAAACCTACTTTAGCAAATTAATCAGGTTAAAACCCAAATGTTTCCCTGAATTAATACAACTTTGTCCAATGTTAGTAATTGTGGTGTTTTGCTAGTTTTTGTCTGGGAGCTATAGTGCCATATTTGTATAACAAATAACTAACAATTAGAGAAAAGTTAGATTGTATGTAATCCCAAATTGGTAGCTGACAGGTCTCCAGAAGATCATCAAATATCTGCTAGTGCTTTGAATTCTTTACAAAGACTTAGGTGAACCTTAGCGTGTTGCAGTAAGACACTGGTGGCATTCTTAATTAAGTTCTCCCAAGAAAGTACAGTATGCACTCCTAGGTATACTTTGCTTTATAAAATGAAAGTGCAGTAGTTTATTTAAAAGAAATAAATAGACTATCTGAATCAGTTAACAGGTTGGCAACTATATTCATATATTACCAACCTTGCTTAGTTTTAATCTTGATTAGTTTTTGTGGCTTAGTGTGTTGGAGGAGGGATACATTGGTCAAAACCAAATTGAGCATTTTCTGTATGAAGGGTGAAAATATTGTTCTAACTTTTATTAGATGTTGGATGTATTTGTTTTTCTTTGCTTTATGTTATGATGGAGAATGTAAGTCTGGAGCCATTTAATTTTGTGGTAAATTTAATGTATTATTAAACATTCAACATTTTGATAAAGATGTAATTATAATCAAAGACAATAAGCAACTAAAGCAATAGGTTCAACAATTATAAACTTTTGGCAATTTTTAAAATTTAAGTTGTAATACATGGCTATATTGTGGGTGGTTCCAGTTAAAAACAGATTTCGCCTGGCAACTCTTGCCTTCTGTCATTCTTAGTCGGAAGTGAGATTGGCACAGTTTTAACAAGACTTTTTAAAAGTATATATTTTTGAGAAAGCAGAAATTGCTTATAGTATTTAGCTACTGTAAAACATGCTGATAGGTATGTACACATTAAAGCATATTCTAAACATATTTGATAAGTAAGTAGATAACAGTTACAATGGGACAAATGCTAATGTATATCCATCTGTTCTTTTAAAGCCATGTGCATTTAGGAAATCTTGTGGGAAGCAATGGCAGTACTCCTGCTTACATATATCAGAAAAGTTTATACATCTACATCTGGTTAAAATAAGTGTGTGCTGGCCAAGTATAGTGATCTTGAGCTGCAGGTATCATCTATTAAATACCCATAGACCTTTCCTCAGTTTGTCTCCAAAAACTAGGGATGTGAACAAACCATCTTAAATGGCACTGCATGTTTGCATAATTGTTAATATACACAAAGAATCAGATATGTCCACATTTGAATGAATAATTTGATATGGGTACCAGCTTCAGCAACCAGTATAGTCTCTGGATTTGGAGCATTTTATTGATAAGAAAACGAAGTATCATAAACTTACTTTGTACCAGATACTTTCCCCAGAGTAAGTATCTGGTTAACAAACCTTTATTACAAGGCTAGAAAGTACTACATAGAAACACATACATCTAAAATTATAGATATGAGTAAAAAGTAGGCATAAAATAACATTATTATATTAAAAGTAATACAGATAATAATGGTTATCACCAAGATTAGTGAAAATCTTCAGTTGTGGTGCGTATATAGTCCTTGGTTAACGACCACTCATTCAGCAACCATTTGAAGTTACAACAGTGCTGAACAAATGGTACTTAACAACCGGTCCTCGAAGTTCTGACTGTTCCAGCACCCCTGCGGTCATTTGATTGCGCTCTGGATGCTTGGCAATCAGCTTGCACTTACGATGGTTGCAGTGTCCCATGGTCACGTGATCACTATTGCAGCCTTCCCTGCTGGGTTCCCACAAGCTGGCAGGGAAGGTTGCAAATCGGTCCCGCTCCTGCCACGCTCCCTCATGCCCTCCAGAGCACCCACCCTGCACCTGGCCTCAGTGTAATAAAACTAATCAGGAGGCCTCTAATTATCCATAGTTTTCTGTTTTGTCCAAATCACAGAACTACAGCCATCAACTTCACAACAAATCAGAAACTATAAACTATGGTTTGAAATTGGTTTCATATCCTGGCTTGTTCTAAAACTAGTAGTTAGCATCTTTCTAATTTCAGTGCCTCGCTATGGAGAAAGAAAGTTTTATATGTTCTGGAAAGAACAAAGTATTAAGTCAAGATTTGATTATGCATATCTGACAATGTTTCATTGAGACTATGAAGGATATGAACTAAAAAAAACCTTTGCTATCAAAAGAACTATTTTCTGATGCAGAAAATTGACTTGTCTGACTTCCAAATATGAAATTTGAGATTAATTTGGAATCTACCATTTAAAAGAAGACCTATAAGAAAGTGAATTAAACTTTTATCCACATAATTTGAAACACCTATTTTATGTATAATGGTTTTATGTCTATTTGGGATGTAATATGTTTACTATAAAGATGTTTTTGTTCTTGTTTAAATACAAACATTCTGATGTGTGATTTGTAATGGTTGGATTGGATGAAACTTATTTATTAATAGGTTAAATGAATTCTTAATACTGTTTTTTAATATTGTTAATATTACTTCATTTCTCCCCAATAGTTAAAGTCCCTCGTAATTTTCGCTTGTTGGAAGAACTTGAAGAGGGTCAAAAAGGAGTAGGAGATGGTACAGTAAGCTGGGGTCTGGAAGATGATGAAGACATGACACTTACACGGTGGACAGGCATGATTATTGGACCACCAAGGGTCGGTGCTGCAAGTTAAATATTTTTTTTAAAAGAAACATTTGGGACATGTTTTAAAGAGAACATGATCAGTGGCAGTTAATTACAGTTATGTTCCGGTCTTCCTTTGAATCTTAATGTGGTATTTGTCATGAGACTTTTAACTAACAGAGGAAGTTGAGAAGAGAGCCAGTTTGGTCTAGTGGTTAAGGCACTAGGCTAGAAAGTGGGAGACTGTGAGTTCTAGTCCCGCCTTAGGCATGAAAGCTGGCTGCGTGACTTTGGGCCAGTCACTCTCTCTCAGCCCAACTTACCTCACAGGGTTGTTGTTGTGGGGAAAATAGGAGGATGAAGGAGTATTAGGTATATTCCCCGCCTTGAGTTGTTTTTAAAAGTAATGAAGGTGGGTAAAAAATCTAAAAAAAAAAGTTACAAAAGCTTATTTTCCCTTCTTGGATATTATTAGAAATATTTCTTACATGCCCAGACTAAGACATGAGCAACACACTAATAATAAGGGTAAATATCTTCATATAGTATATGTTTATTAACTCTGTAATGAGAACATATATTGAGAAGATAGTCCCTCCTGATGGCCATTGCACAATGTGAAGCATACGTGAATTTGGAGTATTACTATGCAATAGCGACCCAACTGAAATATATTATCCTGTTCCATGGTAGTATTGAATTTGATACTAGATAGCTATAATTTGCCAAGAAATTGACATGATTTTCAGAAATAAAAAATCTTGTCCATGTTAGGTTTTCTTGCAGATCACCCTTCTTTCCACTCTTTTTTTTTTTTTTTTTTGTATTTCTGCCCATATTCCAGCAATTGAAAATGGCAAAGAGCTGGAAAGAGAAGTGGCAAGAGGTCAGTTGGCCTTAAAGAATATTTTCAGAAATAAAAAATCTTGTCCATGTTAGGTTTTCTTGCAGATCACCCTTCTTTCCACTCTTTTTTTTTTTTTTTTTATGTATATCTGCCCATATTCCAGCAATTGAAAATGGCAAAGAGCTGGAAAGAGAAGTGGCAAGAGGTCAGTTGGCCTTAAAGAATCCAAAGATGTATTGCTTTTCCTCCCTTTATTTTGTGGGCCTGCAGATTTGCCCACAATGTTGATATTTGAGATAAAGTAAAAGAAGGGAATGAGAGCTACTGCCAAATGGAAATCATGTCTGTCACCTGCTGCCCACCCTCCTCTCTATCCATTGCATCCCTCCTAGACCTCCTAGATGATTGTCTGTTGCTGGGTTTGGAGTATGAATTTCTTGTTATATATCCCAATGTCAATCACTGTGCCTGCTTTATCTTAGACATTACTGCCTTGTTAGTTTTGTGTATCAATATTATGCAGCATTTTGCTATTTGATACAAATTTTCTGAGCACAATTTAATGAATTTTGTTTACTAGCAAACCAAATAATTGAAATTTGGTGTAAAAGAATATCTTTAAATAGGATGGTGCTTATACTAGCACGCTTTTACTTCTTTTTATAATTCTAGCATATATGATGCTTGATTAATTAGAGTATTATATTTATGTTGTTATATTTTGTTTTATTTGAGCTGAAAGCCATCAAGGGGCCCACTGGGGGACCAAAAGACCCAATTTTTAAAGACTTTTTTTAATCAGCAGGTAGTAACTCAGATTAAATCAGACATAAGTATTCTAATCTAATTTTCTAAAAGTAACAATCTATTGCTTAAGTACCACTTATTAGTTTAAGCTGAAGAAAGCTCTACAGAATGGAGATCCCAGCACTGAGAAGGTTGAGGATTTGTTTAGTGCTGTTGAAAGAGTGATAAATATTTTTCAGCCTGAACCCAGTAGGTTGAACTTGGTTGATTCAGAAGATTCAGTCAGGATTAATGATAGAAAATCATATATTAATGTACTGTTGACAGTTCCTCCTGCTTTGAAAAAGAAGCAATAATTCATCTGCAAATATTTTTATTCATTAGAATGGTCACAAGGGAAGAAGCCCAGAAGTAAGCATTCTGGAAGGACATACTAACACTTCTACAGTTTTCTCCCAAACTCTTTTAGGTTTCAATTGAGACTTTTATATAATATTCTTTATCCAGTCATATCTTTAAAATTATTGATATAGTTTCAAATGCAGCTATAATGAAAACTTCTAATTAAATTATTATTTTTTAAAAGTCCAAAGTCATTGATCAGGAAGAGGTTTCAATTTGGCATCTAAAAGATTAATTTGATTAATTAATTTGATGGTAAGCAAATGTCTCTGAGTCATCATCACAATAAAGACTTTGTACCTGGTTTACCATCTGCCTAATGTATGAATCTCTTTTTCATAAGTGTAAAAGCATTAAACAAATACACTGGACTCATTTTGGACTATTATAGTTAGTATTAAGGAGTTTACATTTTCAAAGCTCTTCATGTATATTATTTCAGCGATCATCTAGAAAATCATAATTAGACCTTAAAGACAGAGCCTTCATATATCTATTACAAAATTCCAGAAAATATTTGTTTGTGGCAGCAAAATTAATGAAGAATCTATCATAGTAGAATTGTTACTCATTAAAAAGGACTCCTCCCTGTTTTGCCAAACCTGTCACATGTTGGTGGCATAAAGGGTTTTACTTCTTTGAAACCTATACATATATTTAGATATTATATAACTTTATATTTAACATTTTAGTGTTGGAGTTAATGGTATTTCAGGTGATCTGAATCCAAATTGCATAGGCTTTAAAGATTAGTTTGGGCTTAAAAATAAATTGGATACTGATATAAATATGGAAATAAAGGAACTGTAAGCCCTTAATATCTAGGTCCAGTAAATAGCCTATTTGCAACTTCGCTACCTAAAGTTTTAAGAGTCAGTTTTATCTAGAATGTTTTAATAGTAATATAGCTGAGAAGAAATTAGGGTCTTTATTACTATGGCCATATGTTACAAGGAACAGACACAATGTGCACTTAGCTTAAACTTAGTACCATCCTAGCCATACCTTTAGTTATGATCTGGACCCAAAGCTGTAATCCTTATGTTGAATGCCATTCTGTCTAGGAGAGGAGGCTGAACTCCTATTGCCAGTTGCTTAATATGTTTCTTCAAGGAAGTAGTTGACAATCCTATTTTGTAGCTTCTGTTAATTCTTAGATTAATCTCCAGTCATCTGTCTGATGATTAGTTTGATGTAAACCCACAATTTTCTCAGTTTAGTTTTATGTATGTATTTCTGATTCGTAGTCAGATCATTTGCTAATTAATGACTTATTTAGTCATTGTATATTGTTAATAAGCCAAATAGAAATTAAATAATTACATACTACTTTGCATCTGGATAGCATCATCATCTGGGCATGGAAACTAAGCAGGCTTAGACCTGGTTAGTACTTGACTGGAAACCTGCGAGGATTCCCAGGGCTTTGGACCAGATGAAAAGTGAAAAACAAACAAAATGGATTGGCAAACCACTTCATATTGCTGCAGAGAGAAGTATATCCATTAAGTCACCAGGAATCAAGTTTGACTTGAAGGAACTTTACTTTTTACTTGTACACAGAAACAATTCCATTGAAATAATAAAAATAATAAAGGAGGCAATTACTTTCTTGTAAGTGGGAAGCTGTAAAAGAACCATTGTTTTCAAGTTAGGACAGTGCCCTAAATGCTGTCATTTTGTGTTGTTTTAGCTCAAAATCTAAATTGCTTCTTGAGCAAATATGGAAAAATGGAAGTAAGCAGGTGTGAAGAACCTTTCTACCTTAATGGGTTGAATCTTATGTTGTAATCTTCTGGTTATTTTTAATTTTTGCATTTTTAGGCGGTCCTCAAATCTGCTATAAAAGGATAGGGAACCACTCTAAATGAGATCAGGAAATACCGTTGCACAAGGAGAAACCTGCTTTGTAAATTTGTATGTAGCCCAATCATTGCACAGAGTCATGAATTTTGGGAACTGGAAGGGCCATATCCATCTTAAGTGCCCCATAACAGCACCAGGATTTGAGATTATCATTATTAATTATCATGTACATGTAACAAGCGTAAAGCAAACTGTTTTCAGTGGGAAAAACTGGGTTGTAAGGAAAACCCTTATAGCTTGGTTAAGTTGAAAAAGCAAGTGTAATTAGCCTCCCTCCATTTTGGTATTTATCTTCAAACTGTTAGAAATTTACTGAAATTGATCTTAAGTTAACTTTTGTTTTATTTGGCAAGTTCTGGACTTGTGATTAATTTATTGATTGTATTCTGCCACCATTATTTTCTTCTGTGACAAGTATGCACATTATTTTAGGATCAAGAGCTACAGTTGAGCTATCACGGCATGCCAGGGCTGCCATTTAAAAACCTAAGCAGGTTTAGAACAAAGAAATTGCTGTGGCAGGACAAAAGCTAACTTTGATTTAGTTTAATTTAAATGTATAGTTATTTAAGTTTTAATTAAAGTCAAGGAAATTGATTACTTCACATGCATTTAATAATTTTCCCCTTCCATCACATTAATAAATATAATCAAATGATAACATTTGGAGGAACTGAGAACCACATCAAATATCTTAGGGCCTGCATGCAGCTCTCAAAGCTCAGTACATTCTCGGTGTAAAATTGATTCTTTGAACAATTACAAGGAATTTCTTTTGTAGGAGTAAATGTATTTAAATTTCTCTGATGTATTTTTTGAAAATAATATTTGGCTAAATCCTTTAATATAATATGCCTAAAGTAGTCTATAATGCCAAGCAAACAGATAATCCTGTAGCGTCCATGCTTTTATTAATCAAATTGAAAATCTTGTGTTACTTGTCCCCATTTAGTTAGGGTTGCTATGCATGCATATTCTCAAGTGGAATAGAAACCAGGTTTTCAAACAAATCCTTTGTGGAATGGTGATAATTCTACAATTACTTAAAATGGCTGTAAGTGCAGCTCCTTCTAAAAACCTAAAATCTATTAATCAGCTGATTAGCAGAAGTGAATATTGTATTATATCCCTAGCACTCCTCAATTTCTGCTGCATCTAATCAGCAAAACTTTACCAGCCCTGAAATAGGGGTGGTTTTATTTAGTTGTTTTCTTAAAATTGTGAATGCATATTAACTTTCATTATGATTAACTTTTTGTCTTCTCTATTTACTAGACAAATTATGAAAACAGAATATACAGCTTGAAAGTAGAGTGTGGGCCTAAATATCCTGAAGCACCTCCAACAGTTAGATTTGTAACTAAAATTAATATGAATGGAATAAATAATTCCAATGGAATGGTAAGTTGGATGCAAAATGAGCCAACTAGTTTAATTTGGCAGAAAAGCTGTGAAGGATTCTGCTTGGCAGGAGAGGTTGGGCATACCTGTGATTAAGGAATATACTTCTTTATAAGTTGTCATATATTGGTTGTAACTATCTAGATTACTATAACTATTTATTGCCAAAATAATGTGGAGATAACTTGATTACAAATTTAAAAGACAAAATAATACTTTTTTAAAAAAATGCATATTGGTAAATACACCACAGAATTAAAATTTTGATTCAGATATAAAACAGCCCACAGTAGGATGTTCAGTAATTAACAGTAAAACTTAAAACTTTTAATTTAGTAGTAGCATTTTATTTGTTATCTGTCACAGACTAGTGAAACACAGAACTGAACTTGGGTAAGTCCACAGTGAAGGGAACTAGTGGGAGCTGCACAATGCCTCCAACAGTCTCCATGGTTCACTGTTGCTGAATAGTATAAGCTGTTGCATGGGAATTTCCTAAAGTCAGACTACAGATTTAGCAGAGTGTTTGGGGGACTGATGGAGGAACGGCTGAAGATGTTTGTTTCTGATAATCCCCTTAATGTACAGATCTAACTGGACCATCCTGGATGGATGGATGGATGGATAGATAAACTATTAATGAGATTGTATCTGCAAGTTGTTGAAGAATACTACATAAGAATTTCTATTTTAAAAGCCAACAGTTATGCGTGTGCCTGAAATTTCATGCAGTTGCTCAGTATTTTTTTTTTAAAGATAAAGCAATATCATTGAATGCTTGCTATACTATCCCAGAAAAATTAATTGGTGCATATTGACAGTTAAAGGGTATTTTCTGAATATGACAATATAAGAATGTGATAGTATATCAGTGCATAATGATTTACTGCTTTTCATCTGCTTTTCCATTTCTGAGTTGTTGAGCAAAAATTATTTTCATGTCTTGAAAGCATCCCTCTGTAGTTTGGATTTTAAAAAAAACACACTTCAAAGGGCACCAAAAGTTCTTATTTGAGACACTGTGAGCTATGATTTCTTTCATGTTATAATGATCAATAGTCTCCATTTTTTGCACTTATAAATGAATGCAGCAGTTTTAGCACCAAGCCATAGGTTTAAATTGGTGTTCATATTCTCTGAAATATACATGCTGGCTGTTGACATCATTCTAGAATCAATGATTCTGCATTCTGTGTTTAAATGTATGATTTCTTTCTTTATAGGTGGATGCACGAAGCATACCAGTGTTAGCAAAATGGCAAAATTGTTATAGCATTAAAGTTGTACTTCAAGAGTTAAGGCGTCTAATGATGTCCAAAGAAAATATGAAGCTTCCACAACCTCCAGAAGGGCAAACATACAACAATTAATTTTAGCTGAATCCCAAACTTGTCTTAAACAACTTCTACTTATGTTAATGTCTTGATTCAATTTCACAATGCAAACCACCCACACATAAGAGTTTCTGCTGGTGTATATGATCTGGACATTGAAAGAATATATATGTATATGTATGCCCCATATGTTTTCAGGCACAATCAGAGAAAAAAGGCAGCACAATTTTTTCCTCTTTACCAAGCACTATCATTTTAAGCATAAGCCTGAAGTAGCCTAAATTTGGAGCTCCAGTGTTTCAAGATGAGCGCATGACGGGAAGTGTCAGGTTGCTGTGGAATAATGTTTCAGAAACTTTTTCTCAAGAAGAAAAAAAAAAAACTAATGGCATGCTTTACCCATCTTGCTTTAGTGAAAGAGCTGCAGATTAAAACAATTAAGTAGCAGGTACTGCAAATACCATTGCTCAACTTGTTTAATTTTTGCAATGTGTGGG